CACACCGTCCAGGGTGTCTGTGTGTGGGGGGGTTGGGGATGTGACCACCTCCTTTCTTCCTCATGAAGGACTTATGCATCTGGGAGTATTCCATTTTGAATTCAAGGAATGTATGATGCTGGAGGGGCTAAGTTGGGCTCGCTCTAGACAAAGTGGGTTTGCCTCCCCATTCAGGCTCCTACCCTCTCCTTCCCTCAGCGTCTCACCCTCTCCTCTCACCTCACCTTTCAGTCCCTAAAACACCTCATCTCCTTGCCTTCACTCCCTAAAGTGCAAATGACTGACATCCGCCTAAAGGGTAACCCTCCAGACCACAGTCTATCTTACACGTAGGTGGTGTGTGGGCCAGCCTATGAGACAGGCAAGTTCGAACACGGCAGCTGCAGGGCAGTCCACACAGTGACAACAGGCGGACCACTGGGCAGATGGCAATGCGAACCAATGTGGGCCACAGTGCTGAGCGGGCTCTGGAGCTGCCTCCCCCTGCATCATGCCAGACATTACCCTGGGAGGTCTAGGTGGACCCTCGCTGATGGGTGGGCCACCAGGGCTGACCAGGGAGCTCTGGTCTGCTTCAGGTAACCCTGGGGATTGGCCAGTACCAGTCAGCCGAAAGCACTCATATGCTCATACACATACGAGCGGCATATCAACACCTGGTCATTTGTTTAATCTTTTCTAGGACATTTGGAGCAAGAAAAGACATTTTCTTTTCGACTAGAGTCTCCATGAGATTCAGGTGTATTTCGGTATTTCTGGGATACAAACAGTGGAGCAGTTTGGAGGAAGGGGTGCCTAAGACAGGAGTCCTGGGGGACAGAGGACATTGTGAGGGCTCAGGACCCCTAGAGGTGAAGGGGCAAGGTGTGGGGAACAGGAAAGGAACAGAAACAACAGGGGAGTCTGCATTCTGACTGGGAAGATGGGAGGTGGTGAGAGCGGATGCAGGGGACCTGAGAACAACTCTGCTCTCACCAGTCTTGCTGGGCCAGAACCAGCCTGAGTGAAGCAAAGGAACTCTTTCCATTATTTACTTTGCTTCTTGTCCTTTAATTAAATGTCATCACCTGGTGACTAGAACATGAACTGTGACACCTCTGGTTTTACAAATAGCTTTGTCTTGTTCATAGGGACTGCTGATTAACTCCCGATGTCTCCTGATGTCAATCACTCAGTTGCCTGGCTAAGCAGAATCCCAAGCCCTGGGAGTCTGGCATGAGCGAAAGGTGGTTGAAGATGAAGTGGGGCCTCTCCCTGAAGAATGTCCAGAGGCTCAGATGGTTGAATAAGAGACTCAGCTTACTTCTCCGTGGGTGGAATCTAAAACATTGGCCAGCATTTGCCCAGAACTCCAGGTACTCCTGCCTATTTGGGGCTGGGCAGGACCCAGATCCCCCATGCTTCCTGGGAAAGAG